CTTGCCTCAAGTAGACAAGAGTTATTTCTCCCATCGTGGACATTCCACAGATAAATTAATCCCCACTTGCCTAGTTTCCAACAAACCTCACAACCTCTGAAGATGCCTGCCAGATGTGGGTGAAATGTCAAGAGAAATGCTTCTGGAACATGGCCATACAGCCCACAAAACTCAAAGCAACCCAGCTCCAATCTCATTTGCCTGGAAATGCTTAGATTAGAAGCTGATGAGACACCTTATATTCCTGGTGGTTCTGGATTTAGAAATAGTCTCATTTGCACTAGTAGGAAATGAATAAAATAAAAGAGGCCAAAGTTTAGAATACTTTAACTTATATACAACACATTCTTCTGAAATGTTGTAAAAGGGAACTGATGATCGTGGGGAAAACTATCCTTCTGCTAATCCCCGTTTTCCTATCAGCAATCCCTGACAGGTTAGTTTTGTGCCAGGGTTCAGATCTCAACTTCTGCTTTTAGTACCTGAAGAAAATAATAAACATATGAAATAATAATGAAGGAAAGTACCCGAGCCTATGTAAAGCACATTCCCCTCAGTACAAAGGGATCATAAAGTAGAATATGTCAACAGGCCCAAAAATTACAAAGGACTTTGGATACACAGCCTTGGAAGATGGACCCTCCTTCTCTGGAGATCTTGTATCTCTTGTGTTTTAACAGCAGTGATTCACTGCATATGCCTGTATGGCAAGGGCGTGAATAAGATGGTACTTTGTTTCCTTCCAGCTCTGATTCCGTGATTCTAATAGTAACAAGACCTAGTGCCATCTGTTTCATCATAGAAACACAATACACATCTGTACCTGTGGAATGCAATATAAAATCCATATTCCTAGGTGTTCTTGACATTACAGCAGTGAAAAGTCTAAATGAGAGCTTGAATCTGCATGATTTTTACATGGGAATGTCCTAAATCCACTATGAAAACCCACACCCAATTCTGTACAGTTAAGAAAACCTCCAGATCAGATAATTGGCATGATTGCCACTTGTCATCATAATTATGAAAGCACACTAGAATTAGATGGTTAATTGGGCATTTACATGCAAAATAGTAGAGGCATTTGCCTGTGATTTTTTTTTGTTTTTTGAGGGTGCCGTAGGCATATCTGTTAATGATGTGGTTCAGAGGCACTGATGTGACCTGTGTGATTTGTCGTCATATGCTAATGTTTGCATGTTGTTGTTTTCAAAAAGTCAGAATCCAAATATACAGAGATTCATATATGCAAACTGATATCATTGAAAGAGACAAAAATTCAAATATCTGATTTATTTCTCCACATTGCAAACACGGCTGGTGGGGACGAGAGACAGGGCCTCCTCGGCCATGGCCCCCCACCTGTGGAATGCACTTCCAAATGAGATACGGTCGACCCCATCCCTCCTGGCTTTCAGGAAGAAATTGAAATCGTGGTTCTGGGACCAGGTTTTCAGACAGCAGACATAAATCAGCACTTTGGTTGGAAATGGATTGGCAAGACGATATCTATGAAGATACGGTTTTATTGTTTAATTAATGTTTTATGTCCTGTCGAAGGCTTTCATGGCTGGAATCACTGGGTTGTAGGTTTTCCGGGCTATATGGCCAAGTTTTAGAGGCATTTTCTCCTGACGTTTCGCCTGCATCTATGGCAAGCATCCTCAGAGGTAGTGAGGATGCTCTGAGGATGCTTGCCATAGATGCAGGCGAAACGTCAGGAGAAAATGCCTCTAGAACATGGCCATATAGCCCGGAAAACCTACAACAACCCAGTTTTATGTCCTGTTTTAATTAATGGTTTATGTATTTTATGTATTTTAATGGCTTAATGTTTTTTTTTTGTATGTAATGGTTATTGTATTTAATTGTTTATATGTAACGGCATCGAATCGCTGCCAGTGTAAGCTGTCCTGAGTCCCCCTTTGGGGGTAGAAAAGAGACAGGGCAGAAATACCGGAAATAAATAAATAAACAAATAAACTCAATTCTACTTCAATTCTCTATGGGATCCAGTTTTCCCTGAAAAGAGTGTCATTAACCCATTTGTATCTCTCTATATCTGTTGCCCCACAGCAATAATATCAAAAAACTTGTTTCTTAATTTAATTTACTGTTTGTGGCTTGCTTCCAAGAATCATAGGGACCTGACAGAAGTGCCTTGCATGTTTTTGTATCACAAAATGCTTCTGGATTCAAAATTTTAATGAATTAGTTTTTTTAAAAAACCTTGATTAGTTGATAGCATTTTTACAGTTATATTCGTAGCCCTGTACTTGGAATCTTCCTTTTTATGCTACAAGGATCTGAGTATTTTGTGGTTCAGTTTATAGGTTCTGATATTGGTGTGTATTCCACATGACTATGATTCTGATACCTTGGACCACCATAAAAGTCAATAACAAACATGAGCAATTCAAGCCTGAAATCTCAAATTATTAAACTACAGCAATTGTATCTTGGACTTTGTGTGAAAAAGGAGTCGTTAGAAAAAAAAATGATTAACTTGGGGAAAGTGGAAGGCAGGAAGGAAAGAGAAAGACAACCTTAGAGATGGTGGTTGTTGTGCACATTAAAGTTGCTTCCTCAAAGATCATATTGTAGATGGTTGTTGTTCCTGTGTGCCTTCTAATCATTTCTGACTCATTGTGACTCTGACACTATCACAGGGTATTCTGAGGCTGAGAGTGTGTGACTGGCCCAAGGATATTAAGTTGGTTTCCTGGCTGAGCGGAAAGCTTAACCCTGATCTTGAGTCATAGTCCAGTGCAAAAACCACTGAGGCCCCTTCTACGCTGCCTTAAAAATCCAGATTATCTGCTTTGAATTTATTTATTTATTTATTTACTTCATTGATATCCCGTCCTTCTCACTTCACGGGGAACTAAGAACTGGATTATATATCAGTGTAGACTCCTGTAATCCAGTTCAAATCAAATAATCTGGATTATCTGTTTTGATAATCTGGATTATATGGCAGTGTAGATCAATCCTAAATCACATTGGCTCCATATGGCCTGATTTAATCAAGGATGCCACCACCCTGAAATTGCTAGAACTGAATGGAGCTCATTGCCATATAAAATCCACATTATCTGCTTTGAAATTGATTATATGGCAGTGCAATTATTAAATATTGCAATTATTAAAACAAGATCTGTTATAACAATTCCAAACTTTCTGAAGATCCAACTGCATTAATTTGCGCATTATTATTATTATGCAATAACAATCCATAGCAACCACTTACATTTGCTGTGAGATTGGGAATAGCCAAATTTATAAGACGTCCTTTCACCCTTGCTTAAACTTTAAAAGAGGCTCCTTCCACACAGCTGTATAAAATCCACATCGAACTGGATTATATGGCAGTATGGACTCAGATAATCCAGTTCAAAGCAGATATTGTGGGATTTTCTGTCTTGATATTCTGGGTTATATGGCTGTGTGGAAGGGCCCTGAGTTTCCGTATGGAGAGAAAAAGCGAGATATTAATAAACATCATAATTGGGTTGCTGTGAGTTTTCCAGGGTGTATGGCCATGTTCCAGAAGCATTCTCTCCTGATGTTTCACCCACATCTATGGCAAGCATCCTCAGAGGTTGAGGGGTCTGTTGGAAACTAGGCAAGTGAGGTTTATATATCTGTGGAATGTCCAGGGTAGGAGAAAGAACTTTTGTCTGCTTGAGGCTAGTGTGAATGTTGCAATTGGCCACCTGATTGCAGCCTGGGGGAATCCTTTGTTGGGAGGTGTTTGTTGGTTATGGGAGTTCTGTGTTCCAAGTTTGGTTCGATTCCATCGTTGGTGGAATTCAGAATGCTCTCTGATCGTAAGTGAACTATAAATCCCAGCAACCACAACTCCCAAATGACAAAATCAATCCCTCCCCAACCCCACCAGTATTTAAATATGGGAGTATTGGATATTTGTGCCAAATTTGGTCCAGTGAATGAAAATACATCCTGTATATCAGATATTTACATGACAATTCATAATAGTAGCAAAATGACAGTTATGAAGTAGCAACAAAAATAATGTTATGGTTGGGGGTCATCATATGAGGAACTGTATTAAAGGGTCATGGCATTAGCAAGGTTGAGAACCATTGTATTACAGCAGGGGTCCTCAAACATTTTAAACAGAGGGCCTGGTCACAGTCCGTCAAACTGCTGAAGGGCCGGATTATAATTTTTTTTTTAAAGAATGAATTCCTATGCACACTGCACAGATCTTATTTGTAGTGCAAAAAACACCTAAGACAATACAATAATTAAAATGAAGAGCAATTTTAACAAATATAAACTTATTAGTATTTCAATGGGAAGTGTGGGCCTGCTTTTGGCTGATGAGATAGGATTGTTGTTGTTGTTTGCTTTCAATTCGATCCAGACTTAGGTTGACCCTGAGTGAGGACCAGGTAAATCACCTTGGAAGGCCGGATCCAGTCCCCGGGGCCTTAGTTTGAGGACCCTGCATTAGAGCATGGATCCACTTTAAATCCAGTTTCTGCTCCCTGCAGAATTTTGGGGCTTATAGTTTAGGGAGGAGCCTTTAAACTGCTCAGCCAGGCAAGTCCTGGCCCTCACCAAAACTACAAACCCCAGAATTCTGCAGGAGGCAGACACTGGATTTAAAGTGAATCCATGCTCTAGGCCTAGAGCAGTGGTTCTCAACCTGGGGTCCTCAGATGTTTTTGGCCTTCAACTCCCAGAAATCCTAACAGCTGGTAAACTGGGTGGGATTTCTGGGAGTTGTAGGCCAAAATACCTGGGGACCCACAGGTTGAGAACCACTGGTGTAGAGTATGGATCCACTTTAAATCTAGTTTCTGCCCCCTGCAGAATTTTGGGACTTACAGTTTAGGGAGGGGCCTTTAAACTGCTCAGCCAGGCAGGTCCTGGCCTTCACCAAAACTACAAACCCCAGAATTCTGCAGGAGGCAGACACTGGATTTAAAGTGGATCCATGCTTTAGTGATGAGGCCGTGCAGTTTGACACCTCTTGAACTGCCAAGCTGAGTGCTAAAGGATCCTGGGAGTCGTAGTTGAGTGAGGCATGGGACTACAACTCACAGGGAGCCATAGCACTGCGCCCTGGCAGTTAAAGCGGCGTCAAAGAGGGGGAAACCGACTGGGCCGGCGTTTCAGAAAGCTAGGCCGCAACCCGCACCAAAGAGAGCAGGAGAAGGGCGCTTTCCTCTCAGCCGCTCGTCCCTCTCTCTCTCTCTCCTTTTCCTTCTCAGGGAGGAGGAGGAGGAGGAGACCGGAAAGGCAAGCGCGGAAGGGGAGGCCAAGGCGGCGGCGGCGGCGGGGCCCTGCGAGGAAGAAGAAGACGCCTTCTCCGTTTCCGCGGCTCCCCTCCCGCGCCGCGCCTCTTGGTTTCGCCCGCGCCTCGCGCCCTGCCATGTTGGATTGAGCCGGGGACAAGTTAGAAGTTTAAGGCAGGCAGGGAGGAGGAGAGGGGGAAAGAGAGGCCGAGAGCAGAGGGGAGTCTCCTTCCTCTTCCTCCCTCCCTCCCTTCCTGGGCCACTGCTCTCCATGCCCCTCTGAGGGGCCTGCCTTCCTGCCTGCCTTCCTTCCTTCCCTCTCCGGCCTGGCCCCGCCATGAGCAGCAACAACAACGCCACGCAGCCCCCGCCGCCGCGGAGGGTCACCAACGTGGGCTCCATGCTGCTCACCCCGCAGGAGAACGAGAGCCTCTTCGGCTTCCTGGGCAAGAAATGCGTGGTGAGTGAAGGAGGGAGGGAGGGCCGCTGCGAGGCCTGCTCTGGCGGGAGGCAGACAGGGCCCTGCGCCAAGTGACAGCCCAGGGGGTCTGAGGCGGAAGTGGCCTCCTGGGGCGGGCGAGGGGCGGGCTGCGGCCTCTGAGGGGGCGCCTTGAAACCCCCCCCCCCCCCCCCGAGGCACTTCCGTGACCAGGAGGACCTTCACCAGGGGAAACTTGAAGCCCTCCTCTGAGGTACTTCTGTCACTAGAAGGACCCCCAAAGGGGTGCTATTTGAAACTCTCCCCGAGGCACTTCCATGACCAGAAAGACCTTCTCCAGGGGAGACCTGAAGCTCTCCTCTGAGGCACTAGAAGGACCTCCAAAGGGGGGCTTTTTGAAACTCCCCTTTGAGACACTTCCATAACCAGAGAGACCTTCGAAACTCACCTCTCATGTACTTTCATAACCAGAAAGACCTTCACCAGGGGAGACCTGAAGCTCTCCTTAAAGGCACATCTGTTATTAGAAGGGCTTCCAAAGGGGGGCTGTTTGAAACTCCCCTCTGAGGCACTTCCATAACCAGGAAGAACCTTTAAAGGGGGAGACTTGAAGCTCTCCTTATAGGCACATCTGTAACTAGAAGGACTTCCAAAGGGGGGTTATTCAAAACTCTCCTCTCATGTACTTTCATAACCAGGAAGACCTTCAAAAGGGGAGACTTGATGCTCTCCTCTCAGGTACACCTGTTACTAGAAGGACCTCCAAAGGGGGGGGGGTATTCGAAACCCGCCTCTCATGTACTTTCATAACCAGGAAGACCTTCAAAGTGGGAGACTTGAAGCTTTCCTCTGAGGTACTTCTGTTATTAGAAGGACCTCCAAAGGGGGGCTATTTGAAACTCCCCTTTGAGACAATTCCATAACCAGGAAGACCTTCAAAGGGGTAGACTCGAAGCTCTCCTTAGAGGCACATCTGTAACTAGAAGGACTTCCAAAAGGAGGTTATTCGAAACACGCCTCTCACGTACTTTCATTACCAGGAAGACCTTCAAAAGGGGAGACTCAGAGGCATTTCTTTTCCCCAGGAAGTCTTTCAAAGGGAGGATTTGAAGCTCTCATCTGAGGCAACTTTGGGTCCCGTGAGGGAGAAAAGCAGGATATAAATAAATATTTATTATTATTTAATATTATGACTTCCATGACCAGGAGGATCTTCAGAAGGAGAAACTTGAAACTCCCCTCTAAGATATTTCCATAACCAGGAAGACCTTCAAAAGGGAGCTATTTGAAACTCCCCTCTAAGGTATTTCCATGACCAGGAGGATCTTCAAAAGGGGAGGCTTGAAGCTGTCCTCTGAGGCACTTATATTACTAGGAGGATCTTCAAAGGGGGCTATGTGAAATTCCCCTCTAAGGTACTTCCATGACTAGGAAGACCTTGAAAAGGAGAGGTTTGAAGCTCCCCTCTGAGGCTTTTATTTTTCCCAGGAAGACTTTCAAAAGGGGAGACTTGAAGCTCTCTTCTAAGGTACTTCCCTGACTAGAAGGATCTTCAGAAGGAAAGATTTGAAGCTGTCCTCTAAGGCACTTCTATTACTAGGAGGACCTTCAAAAGGGGGCTATTTGAAACCCCTCTGAGGCACTTCCATGACCAGGAAAACCTTCAAAGGAGGAGACTTGGAGCTCTCCTTAGAGGCACTTCTGTTACTAGAAGGACCTCCAAAGGGGGTTATTTGAAACTTCAAAAGACCTTCAAAAGGGGAGACTTGAAGCTCTCCTCTAAGGCCTTTTTTTCCCCCAGGAAGACTTTCAAAAAGGGAGACTTGAAACTACCCTAAGGTACTTTTATTACCAGGAGGACCTCCAAAGGGGGCCTATTTCAGGCTCCCCCCGAAACACTTCCATTACCAAGAAGACCTCAGAAGGGGAGACTTGAATCTCCCCTCTAAGGAACTTCCATGACCAGGAAGACTTTCAAAGGGGAGACCTAAAGCTGTCCTCTGAGGCACCTCTATTACCTGAAGGACCTCCAAAGGGAGGGGGGTATTTGAAGCTCCCCTCTGAAGCATTTCTGTTGCCAGGAAGACCTTCATTTGGGGAAACTTGAAGCTCCCCTCAGAGGCACCTCCATTACCGGGAGTACTTTCAACAGGGGGTATTTGAAACTCTTCTCTGAGGCTCTTCTGTTGCCAGGAAAATTGTAGCCTATGGCCCTTAAAAGGGGCAACATGAGATACTGCCATTGCCAGGAAGACCCCTGTGGCGCTTGTTCCAGAGGCTGTGATATGATGTTTGTGGAGAACTAGAATTTTCACAGTTTGGGGAAGGTCCAAACAACTCTCAGCTTTTCATCTCCCTGGGGTTCCCTTTGTGGGCGTCACAGAGAGGGAAAAGCAAGCAAACCAGAGCACCCCCGTCCCCTTGCTGAGCCTTTCTTTCCCACACAGCAGCTGCTGGCTTCATTTTATTTTTCTTGCTCCTGGTGGGAGTGGGAATGGGAAACAAGCCAGGAGAGAAAAGGGCCCTACTGAGAACATACTCAGTGGGGTTTGTTGGGGAACAGGAGAGTGCTCTAACTTTCTTTCCAACCCCAAGGATTGGGTGAAGTTTTCCTCTAACACCCTAAAGGGATGCTCCTCAAACTGTGTGCTGTGGAATCATGGCAGTTGTAGCTTCACAAGCCCTTTAGCCTTCTCTGCCACAGAGTTCCTGTACCTCACCAAACTACAACACCTAGGATTCCATAATGTTGAGTCATGGCAGTTAAAGGGATGTCAAAATGAAATAATTCTACTGTGGAAATGCAACTCTAGAGGACTAAAGGTTGGTGATCAGATTATGTCTGATCTTGGGAGATAAACTGGGCCATCATGTGTTCCAGACTATATTTCAGAGGAAGTAGCAGGCAAAACCACCACTGAGTATTCCTGGTTTCCTATTCCACCACTGGTTTTCCTATTCTTTAGGAAATACATAAGTTGACAGGTGACTTGGAGACACACACACACTTCCACAGCCTCTCTCTTTTTCAATTTGTAGAGTGGGAGAAATGCACAGGTGGGGTATTTGACCCAAGCAAGTACTCTATTCGGAGAGGCAGTCATGCTCATGGTTTCTTTCCCAGTCCTCTGCAAAGTGTCCATATTCCCTTCCATGGGCTACCGTTTGCACATTGGAACTGCTGTGATCTTGCCAAAGGTCACAAAGGGGGAACTCTTGGGATAAATTTTACATGGCTTTGCAGTCATAGTATGTGTGCAGGTATGCGGTTTAGTTACCAGTAGATTACATGGGGGAGATTTTTTTCCCCTTCCTTCTGCTTCCTATTTGCTTCTGTCTGGCAGGTACAGTCCATAAGTGACTATCCCAGAAATGCTCTGCGGTTTGCAGTATGTATGTGTCAACAACAGAGCTGTTGCAACAGCTTTGGGGAAAAGTTCAGCAGGTTGTTGCAGGCCTGGACTGCACTGCACCTATAGGATGTTGTGAACTTTCAGGAAATGAGGTGGTATGATCTGAGTGAGGCAGAATACTCTTTTGTTTTCCTCTTATACAATAGACTTGGATATCAGGCATAACATTTCTCATGACATATGTCATTGAAAGCAGAAATGTCTGGGGTTTTTAAAGTTCAACCCACTAGAAGTTCTTGGGCAAGTTAGTCTCTCCCAGAGGAAGGCAAAGGCAAGCCCCCTCTGAATAAATCTTGCCAAGAAAACCCTATGATAAGTCTGCCATAATCATGAACGATTTGAAGGCAGACAGCAACAACAATGTTAAGGTTTCCAAGTATGGTCAATCATTTGTTTTTGTAAGCATTAGTGCTTTAGTATATGACCATGTTTTTCATAAAACTACATTGAACAAATACCCCTTTTCACTTTATTCTGATTTACCCCCTTCTGTAATAGATTAAGGAAATTGTAAAAACCAAGTTTGAATTTATGTGTGTGCAGATCTTTTATCCAATAGTGTTATCTTCAATAATGTAAATAAATAAAAATCTTTATAACCATAAATAAACTAGTGCAGGCAAGTTCAGAATCAATTGAATTTTAATATGTATAAAGGCTTTGCTATACCTAGGCAGTCATTAATGGCATTTTAAAATGCTATAATAAGCAAAAAAAAAAGTAGTCAGGGCATTAGTACTGATTTCTCAAATGTGTATCAGTGGGTTATTGGAAACTAATAAGGGTGAGCGACATTATGAAGAAATGCAAATTCCATAAGGATTCCAGTATGATAACTGTACAAATTGGCATATACAGAAGGCCTGCTTCTAGATTTATTTGGATAGAACAGCACAATAGAAGTCAATTACATACTTTTAAAAATGCTACTGGGAATTGGAGGAGACTTAATGCACGTAATTTTTCTCACATTACTTATTAGTTATATAGTTTATTAGCCATAGGTAGAGCATACTTGTATTTGTTTACTCAGGCACCCTTGTGGTATTGTTTTCCCAAAACACTGTTGTAACATTTTTTCAAGCATTAAATGTTTTTTTATATCATTTAAAATATTGGCTAGGCCAGTGCTACTCAAAGCAATGCTCCATAAACCAGTACTAGAAAGAAGAAATGGTAGCAAACAGGCACAAATATGGTCTCTGACCTATTGGAAAAAAATAATTGCTGATCCCTGCCATCAGATACTTTAAGAAGCACTGAGCTAGGCTACAGAGTTTCGTGACTTAGTGGGAGCTGTAACCTGTAATTTTCCCTAATTCACTCTTAATAGTTTATTGTATCACAGTGATTCTGGCGTTACATACTAACTTCTCTTCATATGTCCTTAATGTAATTCTAAAATAAGGATGGAACACTTAGTTTTCAAAGGCAGAAGTAGCTACGTTTGGCATTTTAAAATGTATAATTGGTTTCTTCTTAATGTATTCTGCAAAGCAGAGGAAGTTATGGTCTTATATTATGTTAACATATCTTGGGGGAGAATACATTTGCCAGGGTGGGTGTAAATATATCTTAGATATCCTGCACTATTTACATTGACTGGAC